CACACACACACACACACACACACACACACACACACACACATATATATATATATATATATATATATATATATATATATATATGTATATTACTCTCAAGGCAAATATTGAAAAACGAAACGATCTCGTTGTAAGGTATGATTGCGATTTATCTAGCATTATCTTACGTACATTTCACGAGATTTTTCACCAGTCTTTTGTATCATGTCAAAATTTGTAGACTCTCACTTCGAAGAATGGTGATCATTTCAAAATATATCTTTAGATATTTACTAAATCCCAGTGCTATTTCGTGTTTTCTAGCGAATAACCGAGTAATTTATCAAGCTAAGATGTTTATTTGTAAGTAACTTTTTTTTATCACAACGAAACGTTACAACTATCGTAGATTCTGCGGCTCACAATACACACTATCATGTCGCAAGCATTATACGTAATGGACATGAAGCCAGTGAATGCTATAAACTCTGTCTGACAAGCGAAAGCCACTGGAGGCTGCGACAACTGAGTAAACAATTTCAATAAAGCAGCTGGTAATCATATACGCGTATGTGCGAAAGGAACTTAACTTCACAAGAAAGCTCATCTCTTGATGAGTAAACATATGATTTCCCTCGTAGTAATCGTATTTATTTTAACCGTAGGTTACTGCTACAATGTTTACGCTTACATTAAAAGTTCAACGCACTTGCGGTCTCGATAACATCTTATGCGGCGTTCGGGAATATTCTCATTGCTCATCAGCACACAAGTATCGATCATGTGTATATACGATCTCAACTTTCCAGAACCTATCTTCGTTTCGTGCCATGAGACAATAAATACGCACAGCTGTTATAGATAAAATATACCGTGTGACGGTTACGAAGAGATTTCTGAAGGTCGGGTGGGGGGCATTATCAACCGTGTAATGAAACTGCTTCTCTATAATCAATAACTGGCAAGTATATAGAATCTGATACATAGCGTACGTTTAAGGTTTCCTCGAGATAGGGATATCGCGGGCCACTGATATCAATGTAGACACAATAGAATTTTGACTAAGAAAAGAGTATTGTTAAGTTAAGTTTTTTTTAAGTAAGTTAAGTTTCACAAAACTTGCATAACGCGCACGATAACCCATATACGCATTCTCGTGACTAAACCATTTTTAAATAATCGCCCGAGTGAGCCAATACAGCGGCTCCTTCTAACGCTCCGGCTTGTGTGTGGCGGTAAAATTGTATCAAGGACGCATCAATGAATAGCTATAGTTAAGTAGCAATTAGTAGAACACACAATGTTACGAGGCCGTCACGTGTCTCTAGACTTCGAAAAGATAATAAGCAAATTTGGAAAGAGAAAAAACCCATATCCCATTAGCGCCATCTTAATAGTGTAACGTGTTTGCTCTTCCAGACTCAAGATGCAGAGAATCTTCGCAGCTTTCCTCGCTCTGGTGCTCCTTGTTGCCGTGGTCGCATCAGTACCACTCGACGAGGGTGAGTATCGTATGAAAAAGAAAGTTCATCGCCTGGTGACACGTAGCTAATGTGATGTTACGGTCATGCGTAAAGTATAGTGCATGTGCCAGGTATTGAGTGCGCGCATGCAAAAATCCCTGTTAATATGTACGTCAATCAAGATGCGTCAATATCGAAACATGCAGGTGTATTACGAATATTCTAACGATTTGCCTTGTATATCTTCGTTTAACTATTATTCTGAAAGCGGCGAGATGTTAATTGCGTCACGTGTTTTGTTCATTAATGTTACTATACGAGACACTATAACTCCCTAACTGTATGTCAAATAGTGATATACCAGGTAGATGCGTTCATGTCATTATCGACACGTCAATAAATGATGAAAATCATAGCATAACAGTCGCCCAGTATTTTTGTCCAGCTTATTTACGATGATAACACCAACTTGCCCCTATATTGCGTTAGTCAACCGGCCGTTATTATTCTCTTATTTAATGCTCCAGTGAATAAGCTTATTTTAACAGGTATACTGTTTAATTTATGACTGACTCAGCTATTATTGATGAAATGATAAAAATAGAAGTAGGAAGACTATTTCCGATACTAGCACGTCTCTAATATTAGAGTATCCGAGCATTTCACTGAGTTTGCAAAATCATCTAATAAATTAATACATCAAAGACTTCCCGTCATGTCTGCAGGGTACGACTAGCTACAATATTATATGAGAACATATAATCATGCAGAGTTAGGAATTATATATATATATATATATATATATATATATATATATATATATATATTTCTACGTACGTACTACTCCGTCCGTCGTCGTACGACGTAGTAGTTACTCTACTTACTTTATTTACTACGTACTACCTACTTAGTTAGTTACG